AATCACAGCTAAAAAACTAGTTAGCACAAAGACAGGATCACTAAGGTCTACTATATGTCAGTACTAATCTTTTACAGATATTTATAATACACATAAAAATGATAGGAGCATGTTGTTAACTTGTCATTGCATGTTTTGTGCTCTTGCTATATTTAGAGGCTTGGGTATTCTGGGTATATTACGTAAGCCAACTTATGAGAAGAAATGGTACCTTTATTTTAATTCATGCCCCACATCTTAGCGTTGCTTTTCAATTAAGAAATACATTCATGGTGTCTTTCATTTGCAATTTTGTATTGTCAGGGATATGCAATAAATATCCCCGTTTCGTAAGTGCCTTTCAAAGTTATTATTATTTCTATCCTTGAAGTATGTTCCCAGAATTTTACTGACAATACCCTTTTCATATCCTTCCCACACACTTCTTCCTTATCAAATTGCTTTACACGATGAGTAATCTTCTTCTGAGTTACAACATAATACATTTTCATTTACACGTTACAAGGACTATGAATGAATAAAGATTCTGAAAGGATGGCAAGTAACCTAATCCATTGGGATTAGGCATGGCTATAGAAAATTTTTCTATTTTCAGTATGCATCATGATTTAGCTATGTAATGCCACTTATGGCCATTTATCTTGTATAATACAAGCCTTGAATTTTCTCTGCATTTTTAGGTTTAAAAAAAAAGTATGCAATAATTATATTTGTTGCAATAATATGAATCGGTGCTTCAGGGGGAGAGAGAATACCAAGTAGGATTCAGCTACATTACACATAAGAACCATAAATAATGTTCAAAAATTCCCCAGTGTAGGGAATTTTCCTTAAAGGAGCTTTCCACCTTTAATATTATCCTATTTATTTTGGTAGCCAACCAGGAGTTCCATTTTAATGTTCACCTGCCATAAGAGTATTATGTAGGCTATTGTTGTTGCCCTACTTTTAAGAATGTTAGTTTCTTGACTTTCATGGCGATGCTTTGACTACATTGCTTTCTGAGTAAGGCTGTATTCTCACATGAGTGGTTTTCCGCGTGTGTTCGGCCATACGAATACGCACGGAACTGCTCTAAACATAAAACACAAATGCATTGCAATGTGCATTGTTCAGACTTGTGCGGCAGCTGCGTAGTACGAAACCGTGTGGCCCGCAAAATAGTACAAGTGTGATTTTATGGAGGATTCAGCGTGTTCTGGCTTTAGTAATAGTTGCAAACATGTGAAATCTGCATGTATGTTAAAGTTTGCGCGGTTTCATTCTGCACGGTTTTCCATGAGAAAAAACACACGGAAAACGCTACGTGTGAATAGAACCTAACTGACCTGAAAAAAGTTATGACATTTTGACACTTTTCTGACACTTATTTACTTCATGTTTGTTTTCAGTTCAAATGTATCAAAGCCAGACACGGTTCTTCTCTCATGACAGGCGTACTTTAAGAGGGCTTAGCCAGACACATTTAGAAAAGATTTATCTTTAAGTGTAGTGGACATAAAGTCTGGTGAGTACAGAAATAATATTTCTACAATACCAGCAGTAACTGAAATAACTGAAGTCCTGGCAATTCCCATACTATTATATATTGTATATGCTATTCATAAACTAAAATAATTGTGTTTTTATTTTGCTGTCAAGGCTTGCTAACAGGCCATAAAAGTTTAAGAAATAATGCTGAAATAAAGCTTGCAAAAATTGTGAGAGGTATAGACAGATTGGCTAAATAAAGTATAACAATTGGCAGTTTATTATTACTTGCTTAATACTCCATAAGAAAAGTTGTTCTCCAGCTTTGCTGTACTTAAAATAATGGGTTACTTGAGGAGACACTAATTTTAACAAAATGTTTGGCAAAAAAATGATGGAAAGTCTTTAGAAAATAATTAAATAAAATTGATTTTGCTGATTAATTTTTACCTTTGTGGAAATAAGAAGAAATAAATGAGGAAAATGCAACTTTATAAATAAACGAAAATCTCAGAATCAAAATGTCATATAAAATGCTTCATATGAATTTGAACATTTAATAAATAAGTCTCTTAGTCTTTTTTTTTATATAAACAAACTTATAACTAAAGTCTGCTGGGACTTTAACATGAACCTGTGCCCATGCAGATTCATTTTAATGACAGCCCCTTAGAACTTTATGCTCCCTTTCCTTTTTTCCCCCCAACAGCTCTGTTTAGACTCACGGAGCAAAGAAAAAAAACTCAGTACTTCTGGGTATGAGGAACATGCGACTCACTCTTTCCTACCATGAGGCAGGGCTGGTGCTTGGTGGTTGGCCCTTAGACACCTAGCGATGCCCCATGTATGTAGGGAAAGTCCTGTGGAAGCTCCAACACAATGCAATTTAGAGCAGCAATAGAGTAAACAAGTGTAAGTAAAAGCTGCTGTAAGTACAATCATTAAAGTGAGCCTTTTTGTTTTGCCCTGCATAGGAAAAGCAAAAGTTTTTTTCAAGTATTTTGGTTCTACTAAATGTATCACTTTTAATGGATGTATATATTTTTAAATCTAGTATTTTTCATTGGTATTTAGTATATATTCAGAGAAGTTTATTTTCTTTCTGTACTTGTGACACATAGCATTTACATAGTAGAAAAGAGATTAGGATCATTAAAATTAAGCTAATCCTTCCCTTTTCCACTATGTGTATTGTGCGTCACTTGTCAGTTGTGTTGCAGATTAGGGTCTTTGGTGGTTACAGAAAATTCAATGGCAATAGATGAAGAGGTTTCACACCCGACACTCTCACTGGGAAATTTTCTTAAAGCTGGATTAGCCACTGGGCAATCTAGGAAGGTCCCTAGGCCCCAACTGGCTTGGGAGGGGCCCAGCTTCCAGTGCAGACTACTAATGCTTTAGTGGTGTATATATGTTTTCTTTTTCATTTACATGCTGGTTGCCATTGTGCTAGTCCTCATCATGCACAGTAGTACTCAAGCCAGCATCAAGATAGCAGAATAGTATAGTCCAAGAGAACTAAACAATCTCAGGAGCAAGGTTCAGCTCTGTTTCACATTAGATTATAACAAGTTTATTGTGAAGGAGACAGTTGTGCAGGCTAGGTGATAAAATTACTGCATGGAAGTTGTGTGAGCTTCCTATCTGGCATCAGGGGGTTGTCCTATCCTGCCTCTGAGCGGGGCTTGCTGTGGAAATCATTAGAGAGTAAAGTTTAGGGAGTAAGATGAGGCATGCTTTGATGAGTGAGAGTGCTGGAAAAAATGCACAGCAGAAGATCAATGGATAATAGCTCCAGAAGTAAGTTATTGCTTGTCCTAAGGATGGTGGTTCAGCCAAGCTAAATTATATTCAATGACTTCACTTGCTGGAAAAAATTCTCACTGTATGGCAAACTTAATTGCACTTGTTTCTGGTATTTTCCGGTACCAGAAATATGCATTCTATCAAAAACATTTCATGTGTCCTAATAAAACATATACATACATGTTACATACATGATGTTTAAGTTCAGAATGTATTCCCAGGACTTTTTACCAGCAGAGATAATGATTAGCCAGTGGTCTGGAAGGAGGATTTTTTAAGAACTCATGTCATCCAGAAATACTGATTACCATGGAGGTTTAAGGAGAAGCTTCTTACACTGTCAGATAAGGACCCCTTCAGGTAAAACATATACATTTTTTTTTGAGAGGGGGGACTCTTGTAATCTTACATCTCTTCACTGGATTGTCACACATTAATTCGAAGTGTCATCCCCTGCCTCTGCAGAACAACTCTCTACAGCACACTGTTTCTCCAGTATAGATAAATCATATTATTCACTGACCCACCTTCCTAGGTGATGCAGTGTTAATAAGTTCTGGCATATGCAATTCCCAATATAGTTCCGCACATGCTTCGGACATGAAGTCAGGTGCTAGGTACACTGGGCATTATTCTCTATGCACCTTATTGTAATGGGAGTCCCCATGCACCTTATTGTAATGGGAGCTCAGATCACCAGAGCTATTACACTCTTGTTGGCTCCCAGCAGCAGGGGAAGTTAACATTATGATTTTTTCACAATGGAGACACAGTACAGTATAAAGCTCTTTGTTTCAGAAGCTGTGGTATTTTATGATCATGAACTAATCTGTTAAAAGACACTTCTGACCCCCTTCTGCCTTATGTCGCTTTCTTACAATTTTCAGTGCCCATTCATTGAACAGGATGAATATGAATCTCCAAAAAATTGCCTAATGGCATGAATGTACAATATGGTGCACACAGCACAGCCATTTGAGGAATATGATATAAAGCACAGTGTATGTAGTGCAGATGTTTGTGGTATGTGGTGTGCCATGACATTGGTGATGAGAATTTTAAAAGCAAAACTGTATAATATCTGACTGCATTTGTCGCTAAAAATTCACAAAAAGTTGGGAGTCTCATTTTAAATGATATAATCTGTCATAAGAGCACAGGAGTCATATGTTGTTTTTTTATATCAAGAAACCAGTGACAACATGCAAAAATCTTGTCTGCCCATTGTTTCCAAGAGTGACTTGAATACCATCATTAGGAAATTATACTTGGAAATGGAAGTCTGAGGGCCCAAAGTTTTCATCCTGCCTAGGACCCTATTTGGTCTTAATATGGCTCTGTAGTTGCTCATCTATGGCAGACTGCAGACTTTAATTTACTGATGTGTATGCTGCAAAACATCCCGCGCTTTGCAAGCACCAAATTATTTTTCTGAAGGCAACTTGTGCTTTTTTATCACAGTCTTTGTATCAAGATAGTTTTTTTTATGCATCCAGAGAACAGTTAAGTGCAATATCCAAATACAATAGAAAAGGCAATAATAAGAACTCAAAGATAAAGTAAAAGCTTTGAAAAAGGTGATACAAGCATAAAAGATATACTAAACAGTTAAAGAAATGAATAGTAGAAAGTTGTGAACAGCTGAGTCCATAAACGTATTACAAATGAAAGTAGTTTGCCGCAATGAACAAAGTAAAAATGACATATAAAAAAACATAGTTTACCTTCTGGTCAATGTACTTATTTTCTTCAATTCCAGATCGTTTAGAATGATCACAAGAAGAGGATGAAGCTGAGGGAAGTCTTCTCAGTAAGCAGCTAGTATCCTGTTGTTGCCGGTCAATGAATTGCTTCATGAAGCTTTCCCTGATAAGTATAAAGAGAAAAAAAGGAAATATTGTAAAATATTATTAAGGATGTTTGTGTTGTTTTCTCACTCACATTTGGCAAGTGTTTTTAGAGAGTAGAACATACAGGGTGAATAAAGAGAGTGGAGGCTATTATAATATTATCGAAACAAATGCAAATTATATGCAAAGTCTTACAGTTAATTTTTAAAAAAATTTTTTTTTTTTTTTTTAGAAAGCTAGTAGCAAGAGTAGAAAAGTCTATTCTTTGCCAGCAAGCTGCAAAGAAGGACCTTTGATCTCTGTGTGAAGCAGTGGTCTCTCTGCAGAGGTCTGACATGCCACCTTCTAACTCTCTAATTAGCAAGGAATATGGGCTTTGGTGATTGTGGAATCATACATCTAACTCAGCGGGGGAATGTCGAATATATACACACACTATATTGCCAAAAGTATTGGGACGCCTGCCTTTACATGCACATAAACCTTAATGGCAACCTAGTCTTTCTTAGCCTGTAAGGTTCAATATTGAGTTGGCCAACCCTTTGGAGCTATAAAAGCTTCAACTCTTCTGGGAAAGCTGTCCACAAGGTTTAGGGGTGTGTCTAACTATGGGAATGTTTGACCATTCTTCCAGAAGCGCATTTGTGAGGTCAGGTACTGATGTTGGACGAGAAGGCCTGGCTCGCAGTCTCCGCTCTAATTCATCCCAAACGTGCTCTATCGGGTTGATGTCAGGACTCTGTGCAGGCCAGTCAAGTTCCTCCACCCCAAACCCGCTCTTCCATGTCTTTATGGACCTTGCTTTGTGCACTGGTGCGCAGTCATGTTGGAACAGAAAGGAGTGCTATCCCCAAACTGTTCCCACAAAGTTGTGAGCATGAAATTGTCCAAAATGTCTTGGTATGCTGATACCTTAAGAGTTCCCTTCACTGGAATTAAGGGGCTAAGCCCAACCCCTGAAAAACAACCCTACACCATAATCCCCCCTCCACCAAACTTTGCTCTTGGCACAATGCAGTCAGGCAAGTACCATTCTCCTGGCAACCGCCAAACCCAGACAAGTCCATTGGATTGCCAGACAGAGAAGCATGATTCGTCACTCCAGAGAACACGTCTCCACTTCTCTAGAGTCCAGTTGAGGCATGCTTTACGCCACTGCATCCAACGCTTTATATAATCTATATTTATATATATATTCTGCATTGTGGTGTGCTTCTTTACAAAAAAAGGTCATGTGCATGTTGTGGTGTGTTGACAGCCTGTTCATTATGATTGGGCTGCCTTAATGCAACCCATGTTAACGTGTAATGTAAAGTGTGAATAGGCCCTTTAGCTGATATAAGCTGGAAGCTCACTTGGGCTTTAAGGTGTCTCTTAAAGAGAAAAATTAACAAGTGGTCCAAATGTGCACTGCGTGAGGTAAATGGGAGTTTTAGAAATTGAGTTTATATTTTTTCTGCTTTTTTTAATGTGCACATTACAATTAAAACCATACATGCTGTTACTGAAATACTTTATATGAAGAATTGTTGATCCATGCTATGTCTGGTAATTGGAACTACTCCATACTTTGGGCTGACCTGTAGTGATCTATCAGCAATAAATCGAAGAAAAGCCTGCGTCTCTGCTGACCCATAAAAGCACAAGGTTGAAGAAAATACTTTAAAATATGCAGCATCCTTGATGTGTAATCAACTTAATCAGGGCAAACTGGTATGAACTGATTAAACCGTGCAGACTGGAACTTCCCTACACCACTGCAATCTATGCATAGTGATTCTGCCACAATACTGCCCTAAAGCAATGTGATGCATTCTAGTTTTCTTTAATTTATGAATTAGACTTTTTCTTGGTAAAATTACAATACTATTAACAATCATTTTTAAGAACTACTCAGTATAACAGAGAACACAAAGCTTGCAAACAATTTCATGTATTTGTTAACATAAAAATATTTTCAAACAAGCAGTTACAACAACAATAAACAAACAAACAAACAAACAAACAATTTAGCAGTTAGTTTACAAAAATACTTTGGCCATAGTTTTTATAACAACAATATAACATTATACAAACTGCACATGCAATGGGAAAATGCATGTCGAAATCAGTGTCAGAGATTCACTTTTTACATGAAATGACTAGATCTGCATATGATTTTAACACCTGAAATCATATGCAGATCTAGTCATTTCATGTAAAAGGTCTAGCACAACCCGACCCCTTCCAATCCCCTGAGTCTCCCTATTTGTTCATGAAGCTAGCTATCGCACTAAAGGACTAATAGAAAGAATGGGAGGCAAGAAGAGTAGGACCAAGTTGGACATAAACATTTTTGGTATATGCGCTGTAGCTAGTGCTTTTTAATTTATATAGTGTATCTAATTTTTAATCTGTATCAAAATACTTGCTTTAAAAAAAATACAATTCAGCAGGGAGCAGTTCTATTAATAATGCCTAAAGGGCAACATTAAAAATGCACAATTTTTTAATTGTGCATTTTTAATGTTGCTTTAAACCTGCCTGTAAAGTAGTGCATCAGTATAATACATTGTACCACAGTAAAACTGACAGAAAGAAAAAAAAAAATTGCCGCCTGCATTTTTTTAAAACTGTGTGGGGTTCCTTGATGAGGGTCTGGTATGGATTATAAAGTGAAAGTACACCTAAAAATTGCTGACTGGCAGGCTTTCTATGACAGAAGAGACTCTGTGGGGGTGATTTACTAACCTAAACACACGCACGCACCAGGTGCGTGTGATTTTCACACAGCAAAACTTATTTATCAACCAAAAAGTCTCTAAAATCATATTTCCACTAATGCCATGTATGGAAAAATCATGCACATGATGCATATATAATGCTGCTTCACAGTTTAGACAAAAATGGTTAGCTCATGCATTTACATTCCTGCATTCATCAACGCAAGCAACACAACATAGAGCTAATTTACACAACAACACCTTGCAATTCATGCAGGGCTTTGCACAACACACCTGCTGGGTGTGTACACACTACAAAGGTGTTTAGATTCCACCCATAGATCATGCTGGGAGGGAACACACTACAGAGGTGTATACATGTTCGTGGTGTGTTTATAAGGTTAGTAAATCAACCCCTGTGTGTCTCTTCTACCATAAAAGCTTCTTGCTGCTTGGATTTGTTTTTCCTGTAGACTAATGAATCAGAAGACAAACAAAAACCCAAATAAAGATGGAAGTGCTGGCGAGGGAGGAATGCAGCTATGCATACTACCACTTTGTGACTGATAGCAGTAGAGGGCTCTCTCCCCCACCCTATACTTCACTTCCATTTTAAGGGGAACCACATCAAAAAATTACATGGGGTTCCCCTTTAAAATCCACTCCAGACCCTTATCCTTAATAAGGATCTGGTACAGATTTTAAGGGGAGCCCCACTAAACAAAATGACATAGGGTTCCCACCCCACAATTCACACCAGACCCTTATTTTTGATGAGAGTCTGGTATGGATTTTAAGGGGGAACCCCACTCAAAAAAGATCCAATGTGGGGGTTCCGCTTAAAATCCATACTCGACCCTTATTGACCTTGGTGAACAGACTATTTTGTTTGGCTGTTCATTAAACCCTGCACCTAAAGTTAATTGCTACAAGCCACTGATCTCTATCAGTCTTATTAAAGATGCTGGCAGTCTGTCATAACACATTGGCAGTTTCTGAAAGTCTGCTGTAACATGTCAGTTTCTCTACATGGCTCTTAAAACATGAAAGCAGTGTCTTGCAACATGGCATTAGTAGAAGCAAACTGGGAGGAGTATTGTGTTATTTGAAAACTAAATAAGAACAAAAGGCACAACTAGTAAACCAAGCCTATACAGCAACAGTCGCATTCATTTAACTACAATCATGAACTTTGCATGCTGCTCTGGTATATTTCCCCTCTTTACCATCTCAGTAAGCTGGAAGGTATACTTACATTCTATACAAGTGCAGCCCTTTTTCACATACATAAATGTAAATTGTAATAATAACGCCTTCACAAAGATGTAAATTTTGTTTAAGATTAATAGCGCTTGGCATTTAAGTTGCATTAAAAAGTGAGAAATCACTGCACTTAAAAAAAATCAGCTGCTTTGTTGTTTTATAAGAAAAACTGAAGCAGATCAAGATTTCAGAGGCACTTAGTTTTTCTATTATTATACAGAAAACACTGATATCAATTAGAATCTTAGCCCAGAGATGCACTTCAACCAAAAGTAAAGCACAGTGAAGCAAGTATTTCAATTATTTAAAAACATAATCTATATGCTGTGCTACACAGATAACTGCAAACTCTTGATAACATAGGTAAAGCAAATAAAAACAGCATTGTATTCAATATTCTCCTTCACAATATGGTCATATTTGGTTCGGATAAAATGTTCTCTCAACTGCATTTATTACCGTAGGCTGGCATTGATGATAGCGTCTCACAGGCCAATAGTCAGTGTTATGTGGGAGAGGGTTAAATATGCTACATTAGTGTGTGGGTGATGACTATAGATTCTGGCTACTGCAGCAAGTCATGTGCAAAATAAGTAGGAGTTCCTGATCCCTAATTGACTTGTCTTATGAAAAATAATGAACTGTTACATCATACATGACCCCTTTTATGATTCATGGGTCACTTAAATTAATTAGCGCAACAATTCAAGATGTGAAATTACTGAAAAAGATTTCTTACCAGTGATTCAAAGAATTAGACCCAAATAAAATCCTATTTTAATAAGATATTGGTGCTATTTGAGGGTTTTCATCCACTTCAGAAAAAGTGTGTTACTACAGATATTTACTGAATGACTGTGTTTACGCAATTATGTTTTTATCACAGTATAGTAAATTATAATAAGCTATAGATATCCTGGGATGTGAATATGGGAGTCCCGTTAAATGTTATAATACTGTCCTCTTAAACCTTATAGCTGGGAGAAATGCAGATTTAGTTCTGGTAACTGGTTTTAAATAAGTAGCAATGATCATTCTGATAGCAGTCTATATGTAGGTGCAAATCTAGCAAACACTATTAGCCAAGGTTAAAAGTCTACCAAAGTCTACCCAAACCTACTTGCCTCTGCCAGTTGGAGTTCATCTCACTTTTGTTTTAAAAAATGTTGGGTGGCTTCACACCTAAGCATCGGGATTACATGCATTACTGCCTTGAGATGCCATTCATTTCCAATGGCATCCCAACGTACAGAGGAAATTAACCTGTTTTGCCTGGTACTGAACTGTGGTACACCATGTCTGGAAAAAAATGCAGGTATGGTTTTTTTTTGTCCATGTGTTGCCAGCCCATCCAAATGCATTACATGTTAGTTGAATTAAAGTTCCACTGTGAAAAATTGCAAAGAACTGGAGTTTTTTGACAAAGGAGACATACTACATAAAAAAATGCCCAATGCTCCTCACAGTTTTTCTTTTTCTGCAGGATACTGTATACTGCAGGACACCTGTGCTGTGCAGTGTACATCCCGGTTAATTTTCTGCATACAAGCCGGGTGTTGTGGACAATCTAACACCTGTGCACATACACAAGATTTACATTATCAATAGCTGTTAAAAGGTTAGCATAGCAGAAACTGGAGCCTAGACCTCGTCTTAATGGACCAATCCAATAATCTAAACAGGCCCTTTCTACCCTAGGGAAATGTTTATTTATACTTGCTTAGAGAGCCATATACACTGATTACATGGTGTATCTAAGTGAATACAGTACTCTTCTAATACCTGTAAGAGGTAATGCAAAGAGAATGTAAAGTGAGAACTCTTGGGATCACCTGCAGGCACAGCCTGTAGTTTATAAAACTATACAGGAACAATAGAGGTAATACATGCTGTTTACAAAGGTGATGAGCTCTTTGGCTTAGTTTACAAATATGGGATTTGTCAGAAATGTAGAATTGGGCTTTAAAAACCATAGAAGACACAGGGCACTTACATACACTCTGTGCAACATCACCCCTCTTATTGAAATTCAGTTTGTCTGCCATTGAATCTGACACCCTACATCTTTATGAGACCTATAATAATTTGACATACCTTTGTCTTTATAGCCTTATGAGTCTACAGCTATGACAATACAAGCTTTATAGTCAATTTAGCACAGAAGCCGTTTGCAGTATTCTTGTGTTATCTTCAGTATTGTAAAACACACTTATTTAAATAATTCTTAGTACAGATCTTCTGTATTTTAACAGGCCAAAGGTGAGGAAAAGAAAATGTTCATTGTTATGGTTTACATATAGTTTGAGTAGGGAAAATAATTGACTGCAACGAACCAGAGATCCTCTCTAGTGGCTACACATGTCAATATTTAATACGAAAAAATTATAGAAATTCAAGAATGAGGCATGTGGGAGTCATACATAAATTAATTTAAGGTAACCATCATTTCAAATATTTACTCACCAAAGATACACAGTAGTTTTCCTTTAACCCTTTTGAAGAGTAATTTTTGCATTTTTTGCTTACATGTTAAAATGCACACCTGCCCTGGGCCTCTGCAGGAGAGTCATTGAAGCCCAGGAACTATGGTTGGGGTAGTTGGGTGGGGGAAATGGCATTTTCACTTCTACCTGAAAGCCATCAGTCAGCTGAGGGGGTGTAAACAAAATCCCGTCTGGTATTATAGAAGCCAGGAGTCTGTTTTACAGCTCCCTGCTACCATGGATGTAGCACTTACATCTGTGGCAGCAAATGTGTTGATAGTCAACTTACCCCCCTCCCCAGCACCCTGAATATAGTAAGCTGGTCCATCCCTGTTGCAGGTAGACAATGTAATAGCGCTGAGAGTTTTTAGAGAACTACTGAATTTGTAATTTATTTGGGGAGGGTCTAGTATTCCCAAACAACTCTATCCACTGTACAGATATTGATTATAAACACACTAGTGCTAACCTGTCTGCAACCACGATTAATGCACTGCCAGTACCTTAGTCCAGTCTTTCTCAAACCGGGTGCCTTCTGGCTTTGTCAGGGGTGCCTTTGATTTTTTGTGAAGGGGGCTCTGATGTGAAAGGGGCTCCTGATGTAAAGGGTACCTTCTGATATGAAAGCGGAGCTCTGATTTGAAATGGAGGCTCTGATGTAAAGGGGGCTTCTGATGTGAAGGGGGGCTTCAATATAAAAGGGAGGGATTCTGATGTTAACTCATCATTTACTTTGTTTTTCGCCTGGGGTTGTTCCCCCTTAAAATTTATATCAGACCTCTTCCTAGAATAAGAGTTTGGTTTTACTGGGGGGAGGGAGGGGTGCAAGACTGCACAAGATTTTTTAAATTTACATTTTTTTTACATTTTAGACTGGGGTCCCTCGAGATTTGGATACTTTCAAAAGGTGCCTTGAGTGAAAAAAGGTTGGAAAATGCTACCATAGTCCACAAATGGATTTTAAATAGATGCACTGCTAGCTTATAAAAAACTGGAAGAAAGAATTAAACCTTGCTTATGGCAAATTTTATTTTACATGTATAAATGCTTCTGCATTGGATTCGAGAGTCTGAATGAGACACTCACTCGGGGTAATGCATGAAAATGAAATGATCAATTACCTTATTTTTGGTACAGTGAAATCAGAAGGAAGTTTAGAGATCTTCACCATCTGTGGCCTGTTGGGGAATTTTTCAAAGATACGTAGACGCAGTGGCAATTTTTCCTTTGTATCAGCATTTGCTTCACTTTGTTTCAGCTGAAAAAAAGCAAAAGGAAAAAAAAACACACACATTGGAGCACTGATCATAGTAAACAGAAGGTGGCAGCAAAGCTATACTATTTATGTGTCAACGAGGAAAGAGATCATGGTATAGATCATTTACATTCCATATGTTCACTGTGCAAGCATAAAACCCTATTTAAAGCAATATTATTTGTAATAAACTCATATGTGCAGTCTAAGTCTAAAAAAATTCAGTGTTATTTGAATACACTGGACCCAATTTAAAGAAATTGCACCAATGCAGGGCGAAATCACTGCAACTCTCCCTTTCCACTATTTACCATTTTTATTTACCTTTAAAAAAAAATATATAATCTTTTTTTTTACTCTACCCTAACCCTTATCTTGCCTAGTAGAGAATGATATGTCGCTGCTTCAGCAGCCCCCTGGGATACTGTATATCTATCAAATTTCTAAGAAGGCTGCATGAACAAGCACACACTCACTGCTGTTCGGCCCCTATGAGAATAGGGGCAAACAGCAGTGAATGAACTGCTGAACGCTCACCTCAGCTGATCCAAATTTTGACTGAGGCAAACATGTCCTTCACTTCAGTTCAGCCAAGCTGTTCGGCTGAACCGAAGTGAAGTGAAGGGAGCCAAAGGCAACTGATATATGGCTGTTTTCAGCCATACCGGGCTGAAGTGAATAGCCGAACAGGGTTCGGCTCCCTTCACTTCGGGTCAGTTATTCACTAAATAACCCCCTATGTTTTTATCCCTCAATAAGATCCCCCTTTTAATGCAGGATAGTATATTGCTTGCTTTGCTTGGCGCTGCTTGGCATTGCATACTATTGCTTAATCTGCGATCTATGAGGACCCCAGGTCTTTTTCCATGTCCTTCTTCCCCAGGGAGTAGTTTGCACACCCATTCCTGGCTCCCATGCGCATAACCTTGCATTTTTTAATATTAAATCGCATTTGCCATCTTGCAGCCCACGCCTCAATTTTATCTACGTCTTTTTGAAGGGAATTTATATCTTCTTGAGAATTTACTGCCCCGCACAGTTTGGTATCATCCACAAACAAAGGAACTATTTATTCCAATCTCTATGTCGTTTATGAATAAGATAAACAGAATCAGTCCCAAGACCAAACCCTTGGGCACCCCACTCACAACTTTTACTCAATTAGAAAATTAACCATTTATTACTACCCTCTGGATTCATTCATGCAGCCAGTTTTCCACCAATGTACCTACAATTTCATCGATACTGATAGATTTTAGTTTGTGAATTAAAGGTTTGAACAATGTGTACACTCCATTTAGTTCCGAACTCACCCCCTTGCCATGCAGTTACCTGCAGTGGCAAACAGTGCACAGCGATACAATGCACCATGCACTGCTTTGTATTGTGAATTGGGCACATAGAAAACAATTATTTTCTTTGTGTCCTTGCGGTGACCTGTGTTGATCTGCTGCAGTACAATGCAGGCCACCATGCTATGTGTGAACAGGCCCTCATTGAAGGTGACTCAATTACTGTAATTTAAAACAAGGCCCCAGGGAGATACATCTGGATCCTCTGGATCAACGGTGGGTAGTTGGCATTCTGTTTAGGCTTTTTATTTTTTAATTTGATATTTCTATAGGTTGAACTCGATGGACATGTGTCTTTTTTCAACCTGACTAATTATGTAACTATCTAGCTTTATAAATATACCCCTTAGTTTTTTGGTTCAAATTGTGTGTGCATCAATGCAACAACATACAGTCATATTCTTAAATGAATCAGCCACACTGCAATATTGTGCCTGTTTTTACTCGCTATACCATGATACTGCTGGAAACAAAAAGCTAATATCACACACATATGTGAGAATGGTGTTGTAAAGTTACCTTGTATCCTAACCACACTTCTACATAAAGGCTGTAATTATTACTGATTATACTTCTGAGATTCACAATAGCCATAATAATATGTGGTAACAAGTCTCCACTGGCCGATAGAGTTGGTGTTAATAATTTAAATGCAGTGCTTATTTACAAAAAGTGTTACACTACACTAAACCTTTCACACAAACCTTTTTTTATTATCACATTATTATTAAAAAAAGAGAAAAAAACAGTATAAAGAAAACGTATTGATGAAAAAAAAACTTGTGGATTTAGCCAATCATTTTTTTGATTATTAATTCTTCATGGTCGTGTAACTGGGGGGCATGGCAGGGGGTGTGTCCTTTGCCCAGGGGCGGACTGGGCTGGGGGGCAGGGCGGCAATTGCCCCCCGGGCCTCTCTGGTGCCTGTAAAAACGTCCCCCGCTGGCGCAGCTGCAATCACTTTTTTTCCTCTATCGGCTGCTCTGCTCTTGCAGCAGCCGAAGAGGAGAAGAAGCTCTTCGGCTGCCTTTGATTAGCCCGTGTAGTGTTCGGGCTCAACGGCAGCTCCCTCCGCCTACTTCTTCTGCCATTGGCTGGAGGGAGGCTGCACTCCTACTGCCTGTCTGCTGGGTCCTAAAGGGAGGGCAGCAGGAAGTGGCTGGAATCACCTGAAAACGTGCAGGCGACCTCACTGCTCCCCCCACCCCCCACCAGGAGAGGAAAAGAAGATGGCACAGCACCTGAAACAGGAGAGAAGAACCACTGTAAGTCCCTGACTGCTGCACTGCTTTACTGACCGCTGCACTGCGTTACTGACCGATGCACTGCATTACATGCTGACTGATGCACAACTTTACTGACAGCTGCACTGCATTACATGCTGACTGATGCACTGCTTTACTGACAGTTGCGCTGCGTTACATGCTGACCGCTGCACTGCATTACATGCTTACCGCTTACTGCGCTACATGCTGACCACTGCAATGCGTTACATGCTGACTGCTGCACTGCGTTACATACTGACGGCTGCACTGTGTTACATGCTGACCTCTGCACTGCGTTACATACTGACAGCTGCACTGCATTACATGCTGACCTCTGCACTGCGTTACATGATGACAGCTGCACTGTATTACATGCTGACCTCTGCACTGCGTTACATACTGACAGCTGCACTGCATTACATGCTGACCACTGCACTGCGTTACATGCTGACTAATGCACTGCGTTACATGCTGACTGATGTGCTGCATTACTGACCACTGCACTGCATTACATACTGATCGCTGCACTGCATTACGTACTGGCGTACATACTGACTGCGTTACATGCTGACCTCTGCACTGCGTTACTTGCTGACCTCTGCACTGCGTTATGTGCTGACCTCTGCACTTGGTTACATACTAAACTCTGCACTGCGTTACATACTGACCGATGCAATGCGTTACATGCTAACCTCTGCACTGCGTTACATACTAACCTCTGCACTGAGTTACATGCTGACTGCTGCACTGCGTAACATACTGACCATTGACCTCTGCACTGGGTTACATACTAACCGCTGACCTCTGCACTGTGTTACATACTGACCGCTGCACTGCGTTACATGGTGACTAATGCACTGCGTTACATGCTGACTGATGCGCTGCATTACTGACCACTGCACTGCGTTACATACTTACTGCTGCACTGCATTACGTGCTGACCTCTGCACTGCGTTACATGATGACAGCTGCACTGTATTACATGCTGACCTCTGCACTGCGTTACATACTGACAGCTGCACTGCATTACATGCTGACCACTGCACTGTGTTACATGCTGACCACTGCACTGCGTTACATACTGACCTCTGCACTGCATTACATGTTGACCTCTGCACTGCGTTACATGCTGACCGCTGCAATGCATTGCATGCTGACCTCTGCACTGCATTACATGTTGACCGCTGACTTCTGCACTGTGTTACATACTGACAGCTGCACTGCATTACATACTGACTTCTGCACTGCGTTACATCCGTCAGACTGCACCCTGTTACATGCTGACCGCTGCACTGAATTACATACTGACTGCTGCACTGTGTTACATGCTGACCAGTGCACTGCATTACATGCTGACTTCTGCACTGCATTACATGCTGACCACTGCACTGCATTACATGCTGACCACTGCACTGCGTTACATGCTTGCAGCTGCACTGTGTTGCATGCTGACCTCTGCACTGTGTTACATACTGACAGCTGCACTGCGTTACATGCTGACCGCTGCTCTGCATTACATGCTGACCGCTGCTCTGCATTACATGCTGACCGCTGCTCTGCATTACATGCTGACCCCTCCTCTGCATTACATGCTGACCGCTGCTCTGCATTACATGCTGGCCGCTGACTTCTGCACTGCGTTATATACTGACAGCTGCACTGTGTTACATGCTGACTGCTGCACTGCATTACATACTGACTGCTGAACTGCATTACGTGCTGGCCGCTGCACTGCGTTACTTGTACACCTCTGCACTGCGTTACATGCTGACCTCTGCACTGTGTTACATGCTGGCTGCTGCACTGCGTAACATACTGACCGCTGCACTGCGTTACATACTGACCTCTGCACTGCGTTACATTCTGACCTCCACATTACACCGTTGACCTTTACACTGCGTTACATACTGACCTCTACATTAGACTGCAGACTCCTGCACTGTGCGTCACTCTGCTGACCTCTGCACTGTGTGTTATTACTGACCTTTGTACTGTGCGTACACCACTGACCTCTGCACTGTGCGTTTGACCGCTGACCTCTGTACTGTGCGTCACACCACTCACCTCTGCACTGTGGGTTAATACTTTCCTTTGTACGCTACATCACACAGCTGACCTCTGTACTGTGCATCACTCTTCTGACTTCTGCACTCTGCATTACACCGCTGACTTCTGTACTATGCATTGCACTGCTGACCTCTGTACTGTGCGTTACATCACTCACCTCTGTACTCTATGTTACAGCACTGACTTCTGCACTGTGTGTTATGCCACTGACCTCTGCACTTTGCATCACACCACTGACCACTGCACACTGCATTACACCACTGACCACTGCACACTGCATTACACCACTGACTTCCATACTGTGCGTTACACCGCTGAC